TGCTGACGGTTGTCCAACACGATTAATGTAATTAGTGTCATTAAATTGTACATGTACAAAAATCACAAGCTGATGGAGGTACTACATATTTGTCTTTACAATGATTAAAAATGATAGAAGAAAAAACACACGTCCAAAGTACACATAAATCTTTAAAGTTTAATGAACCTCTCTTTACATTCTGATCAATTTTTTCCTTCAGCCGCAAGAGCTGTGGTTGTTAGGTGCCGTCCAGTCGGTAACGACCTCCAGCGAACCTATGCACAACAACAATGAAACACTGCTTAGTCCTGAGACGTCTCATAACTGCTGTTGCACTTGAGCCCATTGCTGCCCTCTCACTGTACCAGTCCATCTCGGGGGGTCTTCCTCATTTTTGCTGGCCCTCCACTTTACCAAGCATGATGGCCTTCAGGAATTGGTCTCTGCGATAATATGTCCGAAGTATGAGAGACAAAGTCTCGCTATCCTGGTTCTACGGAGCATTCTGGCTGTACGTCTTCCAGTACAGATTTCTTCATTCTTCTAGCAGTCCATGGTGTTTTTTATATTCTTCTCCAACACCATAGCTCAAATGCATCAATTCTATGGTCTTCCTTAAAAGAGGTCTTGTGTAGCAGATTTGCCCAATGCACTACCATCATTTGGTTTCTTGACTGCTGTTTCCATAAGTGTTAAAAGTGGATCCACACAAAATTAAATGTTTGACATCAATTTTTTCTCCATTTATCATGTTATTTATTGGTCCAGTTATGAGGATTTTTGTTTTCTTTACATTGAGGTACAACCCATACTGAAGACTTTGATCTTCAGTCTTTGATCTTCATCAGTATTTTAAGTTTTCTTTGCTTTCAGCAAGCAGGTTGTATTATCTGCACATTGCAGGTTGTAAATGAATCTTTCTCAAATCCTGATGCCATGTTCTTCCTCATATACTCCAGTTTCTCAGATCATTTACTCAACATACAGACTGGATAAATATGGTGAAAGAATACAATCTTGGCACACAAGATTTTAAACCATTCAGTGTCCCCTTGCTCTGTTCGAACGACTGCCTTTTGGTCTGTGTACAGGTTACTTATGAGCACAGTTAAGTGTTCTGGAATACCCATTCTTCGCAATGTTATCCATAGCTTGTCATGACCCACAGTTGAAAGCCTTTGCACAGTCAGTAAAGCACAGGTAAACATTTTTTTGCCAAGATCCATCTGAGGTCAGCAATAATATCCCTTGTTCCATGTCCTTGTCTGAATCGAGCTTGAACCTTCCACACTTCCCTCTAGATGTACTGTCGCTGCCATTTTTGAATTATCTTTAGCAAAAATTTACTAGTATGTGATATTAATAATAATGTCTAATTTCCACATTTCTTTTTGTGTCTCCTCTTTTTGAAATGGGCACAAATACAGATCTCTTCCAATCAGCTGTCTTCCAAATGTCTTGGCATAGATGAGTGAATGAACCTCTAGTACCAAATCAGTTTCTTGAAAGATTTCAATTTGTATTCCATCAATTCCCAGGCTTTGTTCTTTGCCAATCCCTGCAATGAACCTTGGACTTCTTCCTTCAGGATCATTGGTTCTTGATCATTTGCTGCCTCTTGGAAAGTCTGAACATGGACCAGTTCTTTTTGGTCAGTGACTCTGTATAATCTTTCCATCTTCTTTTGATGCTTTCTGCATCATCCAATAGCTTGCCCATGTTGCTGTAAAGTGGCGTCAAATCATTTCTGACTCATAGCGACCCTATCAGGGTTCCAAGGAACAGCTGGTAGGTTTTGAACTGTTGGCTGGCCTTCCAATGCTTATCCCACAATGCCACACCATGACTCCATCTTATCCCACAATGCCACACCAGAACTCCATCTTATCCCACAATGCCACACCAGGACTCCATCTTGCCCATGGACTCCTTCAATACTGCAAGTTGAGGCTTGAATTTTTTCTTCAGTTCTTTCAGCTTGAGAAATGCTAAGGGTTTTCTTCCCTTTTTGTTTTCTAACTCCAGTTCTTTGCGCATTCCATTATAATATTTTACTTTGTCTTCTTGAGCTGCCCTGTGAAGCTCTCTATTCAGTTCTTTTACCTCCTCATTTCTTCCATTTGCTTTACTATCTCTACAGTGAAAAGCAAGTTTCAGAGACTCTTCTGACATCCATTTTGGTCTTTTATGTCTTTCTTGTCTTCTATTAATGGTATTTTGCTTTCTTGACGTCATTTATAACTCTTCTGGTCCTCAGCCATTTGTGTCTAATGCATCAAATCTGTTCTTGAGATGATCTCTAGATTCAGGTAGTATATGTTCAAGGTCATATTTTGGCTCTCCTGGACTTGTTATAATTTTCTTCAGCTTCAGCTGAACTTGCATATGAGCAATTGATGGTCTATTCCTGGCTTTGTTTTGACTGATGATATGGAGCTTTTCTACCATCTTTTCCCACAGATGTAGTCAATTTGATTTGCCAAGAGGGTTTGCAAAATTAGCAATCTCCAGCATTGTTTCTATCACCAAGGCCATGTTTTCCAACTACTGAGCCTTCCTCTTTGTTTCCAACCTTTGCATTTCAATCACCAGTAATTATCAATACAGTATGAACAATTTCAGACTGAAGCAAGCTGGTAGAATTCTTCAATTTCATCACCACTGGCTTTAGTGGTTGGTGTGCAAATACGAATAATAGTGGTATTAACCGGTCTTCCTTGTAGGTGTATGGATATTATCCTATCACAGACAGCACTGTACTTCAAGATACATCTTGAAATGTTCTTTTTGATGTGACACGATTCTTCTGCAATTTGTCATTCCCAGCATAGCAAACCACATGACTGTCAGATTCAAAATGGCCAATACTAGTCCATTTCAGCTCACTAAGGCGTAAGATATTGATCTTTATGGGTTCTATTTCACGTCTAACAACTTTCAATTTTCCTAGATTCAAACTTTGTACATTCCATGTTCCAATCATTAATTGTTGTTTACAGCTGTTTCTCCTCATTTTGAGTTGTGTCCCACCAGCAAAAGAAGGTCCTGAAAGCTTTAGCCCATCGGCGACATCATGGTCAAATCTACTTTGAGAAGGCAGCATTTTCCCAGTGGTATTTTCAGTGTCTTGCAACCTAAGGGGCTCATTTTCCAGCACTCTGCCTGACACTGTTCCATTGCTATTCATGAGGTTTTCAGTGGTTAACGCTTCAGAAGTGGTAGTCTGCCTCTTTCCTAGTCTGTAAGTTTAGCTGAAACCTGTCTACCATGGGAGACCCTGATGGTATTTAAAATGCCAGTGGCAAAGTTTTCAACATCACAACAACACGCAAGCCACCAAAGTACGACAAACTGACAGATGAGTGGTGGCTGACAAGAGGAGGCACAAGTACTGTGTGAGGAATGTGTTTTAAAAATCAAACCTGAGAATTTTCCTCTAGCAAAGAGCCTTACTGTTAAAATACTGCCTTAGAATATATGCCTTCAAACACTGTGTATCTACTAGGAGTGGCAAGGAACACAAAAGGTCAAGGTGTGGCTGAGGTCAAGAAAGATGTGAATCCCTAAGGTAAGAGGCAGCTCCTGGTGATGTGTCAGGGCAGAGGACCACGAGAGGGGCCAGCAGACCACTCCCTCCACCCTGGCAAGGGTTGTGGCCACCAAGCTAGGTGCTTTCTGATGCACAGGAGCCCTACAGGACAACGTGGAACTGCTCCACAGGGAGTCTAAGGCTGCAAGTCTTTACAGAAGCAGACTGCCATCATTCTCCCGTGTAACAGCTGGTGGGTTTGAACTGCCGATGTTTCAGTTAGCAGTGGTTACATGTGCCACCAGGACTCCTCCTAGAGTAGGCCCTGTTTCTAAATCACACAAAAGCTCAAGCCCTGTCAGTTGGCGTGTGGGGATCTTCGGGTCAGAGGGGAACCAGGAGGAGACTGAGCCCTGCTCTATTCCCCCCAGCGTAACAGCTCAGAAGAAAAGGTCATTCTAAAGCATGAGCTGAAGAACCTATCCTCAGAGGTCACCTTTTAGCTCAATTACAGAAAGACTATTACCCGTGAGTACAGTGGCTCCACACAATAAGACCATGAACCACAAGGTTTGTGGTTCGAGCCCATCAGCTGCTCTGTGGGAGAAAGACGAGGCTTTTTGCTCCCACAAAGATTTAAAAACCCTATACAGAGTCGCTATGAGTCAGAATCAATTCGACAACACTTAACAACAACATCAACAACTGCACTCCTTTAAAAAATCATTTATATGAGAGTAAATGGTCAACAATTTCTTTAAAACAAAGATGAGAAGGTAAGGGGGCAGGGAGACTAGGTTAGCCAAACTAGAATAACCAGTGAGAATGTCCTTGCACTGTAACCACTGTGACAAAGAAAGTCAACCAGTGCCACTCAACAATTTGTGTAGAAACTGTTGAATGGGAACCTAAACTGCTGTGTAAACCTTTACCAAAAACACAACCAAGTATTATTAAAGATAACTCAATGAAAGACACGCAACGTGAAATATCAGAAACGCACAGTCAAGTGGACTGTGACTCACAGCGACCCTGCAGGACAGAGTCCAACTGCCCCACAGGGTTCCCACGGCTGTCATCTCTGCAGAAGCTGACTGACACAGTTCACTCCCATGGAGTGACAGGTGGCTTTCAGCCGTGGACCTTTTGGTTTGTAGTTAAGTAGTTAACTACTCACTACCAGGGCGCCTTCCACATGAAAGTTGTTGTTAAGTGCCATCGAGTCAGTTTTCCAATCCATAGCTACCCTGTAGAGGGTTTCTGAGGAGCTTCTGGTGAGCTTGAACCGCCGATCTTGCAGTTCAAACGGCTTTGCAGTCTGGCACATTAACCCACAGCGCCACACCAGGACTCCTCCACATGAAAGAGATGGTTTAAAATACTCTCCAACCCCTTCCCAACATAGAGCCTAGGTACTGAACCCAGAGTGATGCAGATACCTTAACATTCATATACATGGGCAGTCCCTCTGTAGTTAAGCAAGAGTTACCTTGGTGATCAACATAAGGCTTGAAGGCCTGAAGGATTTTTGGCACAGCCACCCCCATGTCAAGTTCCGTCAGAGTCAGCTCATTCATAAAGTAGGGGAGCTGGAGAAGAAAATAAACAGTGGGTGAGCTGCATTATTAACCTGGCAAAAATGCTAAGGTCAGTTACAATTCAACTTGGAGGCTTTGGGGTGGGGGAGGTGGATACATCACTTACTTAACAAAAATATACCGAGTATACCATGTATTGAAGACAGCACTGTGAACAAGTCAGACAGGTCCCATGCTCTCGTGGGGTTTATATAGAAACCGATAAAGAAGTAGACAAATGAACAATGTAGAGTTTCCGGGAGTGACTAGTGCTACAAAGAGTCTAGGGCGTGGGTGGGAAGGCTTCTCTGTGGACCACATGATGGGTTTGAACCACCAACGTTGCAATTAGTACCTGACTTTTCACCTGCTGTGGCCATTAGGGCGCCTCCAAATCTGCCAGTTTTATTCTAAAAGAAGTAGCCTGAGAGTACTGGAATCATGCTTAGAAATTTCTGCTTCCCCTCAAAATTACAGAATGAATTCATGCATATTTCCTCCTACTGGATTTGTATATGCAGATGCAGTTTTGTTTGCTTAAATCTTTGATCCACTCAGAATTTTAGCATAAGATGTAAAGTAGGGATTCAACTTACTTGCCCCCTTCCCACAAATGGCTAATTGGTGATCCCAAGCTATTACTGAGTAAGCAACCCTTTCCCTGTTAACATGTGGCTCCATCTTCAACTGCAAGACTCCCAACTAGACTGGAGTCATATTGAACTCTCTGCTTTCTGCCTTTATTGCCGCTGTTTTTAAATCGGGCAAGTCCCTCTCCTCCTTTGCTTTTCCCTCACCAAGTATTTTCCAGTTAAACATTAGAATGATTTTGTAGTAATTTAGAATCAAGTTGTTTTGTTTTGAAATCAAGTTGTTTGCTGAATAATTCCCATAAATCAGGGCAGCATTCAGTCAGGCATGGATTTAACACTTCAGCTCTCTCCCTGCAAAAATGTAGAACCTTTGAGAATTCACCAGAGAACATCATCTCTGTATTTTTTGGAGGAATAAGGGTAGCGTGAAGAGATTACTTTAAAGAGGTTGTGATGTCTGTGAAGGGCAAACTACGAGCAGGGCAGTGTTCAGTTACAAATGGTCAATGTTGTCAGCGGTGACGGGCTTCCCATTCAGCCTACAAAACGCTCCAAGGCCAAAAATGCAACCAAAATCCTGTACTCGTGTCACATTCCTTTATCTCTGTCATTGTCTGTCTACCACCCAGTGTTCCGGAGCATGCCAGGTTAGAGCCGGCTGATGGCTGGCCAGCAACGTCACCAGTGCCTACAGTGTTTCTATGGGAACACGAGTCCCACACTGAGCCATGGGCGTGATTGCAGAGACAGCAGGAACTAAGTGTCCCTCCTCTTGTCCTGGCCCAGGCCCTCTCTCCTCCCCTCCCCATTCTGTACCTTGACAATAACAGTAAGTCTCTATAGAGGAGGGCATAGGAGACTGGACCTAAGAGGAATGAGGGGCTGAAAGAAACTGAGAAAGATGGGGTGGGCTGGGGAAGGAGGGGAGCAGCTGGGCCAGGGTTTCCTACCATCTCTCTAAACTCTACCCCCAACACACACCCCCCTCCTGGCTCAGATTCCTGCCTGGGTCTTGGTACCAGGCTCCGGAGCAATCAATCTCCTTCTGAGCCGGCAAGGGAGAAGCATGGAAAGATTACTGCTCCTCTTGTTCTTTTCAACCAGAAACGCCTTTCCTAATACCAAAAGGGCACCTCAGTGCACAGGAACCAACTGCATGCTCTTTATCCTCCTGAGTAAACCCAACGGGGGACGAGTGATGCAGGCGTCGTCGGGGGCCTGCAATGAGAACAGCATACGCTGATGTAGACACAAGGGGCCCAAGAGGGCCCTGCGGCGGCAAACTGGCAGCTGGCTCAGGTCGAGAGTGTATTTACTGCTGGGCACCAATTCAGCTTGTTTTAAACCCATCACTGGGTGCCCGATAGCACAGAAGGCTGCTCTCTTCCACAACATGAATCTTTAGCACATGCCAAGGGGACAGTCTGGGACTGCAGGGCTAGGTTGGCAGACTCCTTCCAGGGACACCATGAGGTGGGGGAGTTCTATGTCACAGGTCACAGCTCCTCCAGGCCCTACTCTGTCCTCCTGCTGGCTCTGCACTGCCTGCCAATCAATGTCCACTTATGACTGGGCTCAAGGTACAGCTCCTCCCCGGGGCAGCTGGGTGGTGGCAGGTTCAGAATTCAAGGGGAACAATAGCCTGTTGCCTTCCTGTCTAGCCTCCTAGGACAGCAGCTCAGGTAGGGGTGGGGGGCATGGAGATGCACTGAGGTTGACCCCCTGAAACTGCTGATGCCGCTGGATCGCTTCCCCATTCTAATCTCAGTTCTTCTGTCCTCAGAAAACCCAAGGAGGCCTAAGTGTCTGAAGTGCAAAAGCCTACAGCACCAACAGAGGGAGAAGTCGACAGACTTCCCTTCCACTTCTTTTGGAATGAGGAAGCCCACCATCCTCCATTAAGATACTCCACAGACTTCTAACTCAAGAAAAGGAGAGTGGAATACCCCCTCTTCAAGTTCACTGTGGAAGGTGTACAACAGGGAGGGCAGCATCCTGTCTGGAAGTCCAGCATGCCCTGTTTCCGTCTCATGCTGCCAGGAGCCCACAGCCCTCCCGCTCACAGGAATAAGGCTGGTGGCAACACAGTGTTTGCTTTAGCCTGGGAGCTCAATGTTTCGGTCACAAAAAGTTTTGTGAGCTCTAGGTTGGGTGCTGGGACTCCTGGTGTGGCACTGCAGAAAAGCACTGGGCTTCGAATCACAAGGTCGGCAGTTCAAACTCACCAGCTGTTGCTTGGAAACCCTGTACAGGGTCGCTATGAGTCGGAACTGACTCAAAGGCACTTAACAACAAGAAGGTCGGGTGCTGAACGCTCCACTCCCAAGACAGAGGATCACCGGGCTTCCCCTCTATAGCTCAACCCACCTTAAATTAACAGACAGACAGACTGCCAGTAGTCCAGAGAGCCCTCCCAAGCCCCTGCACTGAATCCAGCTCCCCAAGTTCAGAAGGCAGTGACTCTTCTTCATCAAGGGTTGGATTATACCGGGAGCAGCCAGCAGCCAGCACTTGCTAGAGCATACCTAAGCCAGAAAAGACTGCTTTACTAAGCAGATGACAGAAACCGAACTTGAAGCTCCTTCTGGCCCACTTTTTCCTCCTTGTATAATTTTACCTCAGCTCAGAGTTTACTAACCTGGAGTCTCTAAAAGTGGGGACAAAATTTTGTACCCACATGCATTTTTTTAGGGAGAGGACTAGGAGGCTTCTGCCTCTCAATGATGTCTATGACCAAAAAGGTTCACAACCACCAACCTCGGCTAATGACCACGGGAGCCCTCAATCTAGACTTGGGACCAAAGTTATTGTGCCCTGGCTGGCTCTTCACTGGGTCAAAAACGTAAGTAAGCTAAGGAAGGAAGCTTGGTTGGCAAATGAGTCATTTAGAGACAATTTCAAGAAATTTAAGTACTTAATGCAGCTTAAACTCACTTCCAAGTGGGCCGGGATCAGCACTAGGGTGGGGTCTTCCGTGAAGAGTGAGCTCAAAATAAAGTACCATCAGGCCAAAAGTAAAGGTCAAACAGAAAGAAACTTCGAGCATGATGTGAACTTTCCCAGCTTTGGGAGGAGCAGGACTTGGGAAAGAGGCTAAGTAGTCAGTCTTCACCGGGCAGCTGAGTGGGCTCTGGACTCAACATTTCAGAATGTTACTCATTTAAAGAGAACAGAATTACGCAGACACTGTGGCTACAAAAGCTCACGTTTTTGCAAACCAAACTCTGGCTTATCGTCTAGAGAACATAACCGAGAGGGCAACCTGAGGAAATGGTCAGCAGCTACAGTTCATTCTGCCACTGAGGTCACAGACCAGACTTGGGTTTTGGTAGGAACTTACTACCCTCATATGTCGTATGCTTTAAACCAAGTTATCTTCCACTTAGGGCATAATGATGCAAAAAATCCAGAAACTAAGAAATGCTATGAACCAGAAACCCCTCATGTAGAATACAATACCTTTATTTTGCTGAGCTTCATCTGGATTTTCTTAGACACCAGATCAGACCAATATTTCTCTCCTAAGAAGTCCCAAAATGTTCTTCCAAGCAAGGCATTTACCCAGGCTTCCTGCTCTTCCTCCTCACAGGGCAGAGACTCTGGCAACTGGCAAAAGAAAGGGGGCCCAAATTCATTAGAAAGCAACTGGTTTTCAGTTTCAAGTCACCCAAGGTCCCACCCTACATGGGGAGATGAGGAGATTATGTGAGCTGTACTTCTTCCATGAAGGGCAAGTCTCACATTACCTTGGGGAATAGAGAAATGGAGAAACAAAAGGCACCATTGCGGCTGTCTTTCGCCACCCATCTTCCTACGAACTGGGTAAGCAGTTCGGACAGTTACCCCAGCCAAGTCACCGGGGACCAAAGCATGGCATCAACATTCGGAATCTACAACACATGTGATCACGTGCCTCACCTAGGCAGGCCCGTTTCTCAATGGCCAGTACTCTCATCCAGTCCAACCCTTGTGAGATCAGGGTTTGGGCGATGGAGGCATGAGGCAGGAGCTTAAAAAAACTCTGATGTCCAGGTCCCCTCCCTAAAGCCCGACTTACAAGGGTGAGAATCAAGGCTCTGAACAAGAGAGCCCCACACACTTCCACAGCTGTTCTCCCAGATCTCAGTCCCCACCTCCATTGGAGAGTTCCATCTGAAATATCTGCCACAACCATTGCGTGAGGTGGGAGAAGAGCAAGTTTCCGAGGCTAATTCTAGACCCTGTCTGGAAGCACCAGGGAGGGATGGGGGAGGAAGGGAAAAGCGGCGGCAGCAGCCACAGTGGGTGTTGTGAGGCTGCGTGGTCCATGGGGGTGATGCGCTGAGAGCACAGCTGTGATTGTTGTTGTCCATGCTACCACGGGCCAGGCCCTCTCAGAGACTTTCTCATGCCGCCTATTTACTCACCACAAAACCCTAGACAGGTTCTCTCTGCCTTCCATTGCTTGGAAGATGAAACAGAACCAGACCCATTTGGGGACCTGCCTGAAGCACCGAGTTAAGATGTGTAGCCTGACTTCTCTCCTGCTCTGAAACTGGCCTCTGGCATGGCAGACATTTCTCTGCGCTGAGGTCTTTAACTAGATAATGGAGGTAAGTGGGCCACCGAGTCCATTCCAACTCATAGCAACCCTGTACAGGGTTTCCAAGGTTATAAGTCTTTATGGGAGCTGAGAGAGCCTCATCTTTCTCCTGGGGAGTACTTGGCGGACTCGAACTGCTGACCATATGGTAAGCACTCCAATGCATACTCCACTATGCTACCTGGGTTCTGTAATTAAATGACAGCCTTACAGAAACAAAAGCCTTAGAAAGCAAAGATCAAAAGAACTAGAAGCAGAAATCTATGGAAGGCTCACCATTTTCTCTCCCTCTAACGTTTGTACAAAGGATCCCATCCTGCTCTTGCAGGCTGCACACACACACATGCACACACGCACAAGTCAAGGCCTTCATCTCCATGCTCCTTAGGGTGCACTCACACCAGTATTACCTGTTCTGGGCAGCCATGACTGGGCCCAGTCACTGAGGCTGGGTGCATAGGTCAGTGGCATGGTTTAGAAGTTACCTGGTGTTCATGCATTTCATATTTGTAGGTCTGAGTACCTGGTGGTAACCCACAGGTCTATGGTATGTCCTAAGTGTGAATTTCTAGACGTTTGGAGTTCTGAGTTCTGCCCCAGGTGAACCAAGTGCTGAGCTTGTCTGTGAGCCTCGTGGCTTTTTCAGTACCAGCTGCCTGCTAGTCTCCTCAGGGCTTGTGGCATCTCTCTCTTCGGAAGTCTGGGGGTTCACTTACATGTTTTCATTCTATTTTAATGGCTGCATAGTATTTCTCTGTGCTTTTCTGGGGCTGCAATGCCTTAGAGTCCTGATGCGGAGCTGTGGGTTAATGCACCAGACTGCAAAGCCGTTTGAACTGCAAGGTTGTCAGTTCAAGCTCACCAGATGCTCCTTGGAAACCCTATACAGGGTCGCTCTGGGTTGGAACCAACTAGATGGCACCAAACAACAAAAATGTCTTTAGATATTAACTAGACCCTGGATGGAGGAGCAGAAGTCAGACAACACACTGCACATGTTTTGTGAATCACTCTTCTCTCTGCCGGATCATCTCCACTACTGTGTTTCAGTCATACCCAGTTATGTAGACAGACTTCAGAATAAACACATGGATCTAAGGACAATGTCTCCTGGCCATTCAGAAAGTGCCAAGTTGCTGCCTCCAGGGCACACTTACCTTGTTTAGATTGTGGTTACCTAAGAGAATAGGTTATCCTTTTCCTTCTCAAGTGGGAGCTGTAGTTAAGTGCACTGTTGTTGTTATTAGATGCCATCAAGTAGGTACCAACTCATAGCGACCCTATGCACAAGAGAACAAAACACTGCCTGATCCTGGGCCAACCTCACAATCGTTGCTACACCGGAGCCTATCGCTGTTGCCACTTTGTCAATCCATTTCATTGGGGGGGGTCTTCCTCTTTCTCCGACCCTCGACTTTACCAAACATGGTATCTTTCTCCAGTGACTGGTCCCTCGTCATAATATGTCTGAAGTATAAGAGATAAAGTCTGGCCATCCTGGCCTCCAAGGAGCACTCTGGCTGCACTTCTTCCAATACAGATTTGTTTGTTCTTTTGGCAGTCCATGGCACTTTCAATATTCTCCCCCAACACCATAACTCAAATGCACCAGTTCTTCCATGGTCTTCCTTTATCATTGTCCAACTTTCGCATGCATATGAGGTTACTGAAAATACCATGGATTGGGTTAGGTATACCTTAGTCCTCAAACTGACAGCTTTGCTCTTTAACGCTTCTAAGAGGTCTGGTGCAGCAGATTTACCTAATGCAATACATTGTTTGATTTTTTTGACTGCTGCTTCCATGAGTGTTGATGGTTGATTTGAACAAAATCATTTGAGCAAAATGAAGTCCTTGACAACTTGAAACTTTTCTCCATTGATACAGATGTTGTTTATTGGTCCAGTGGTGAGGATTCTTATTTTCTTTACATTGAGATGCAAATCATACAGGAAGGCTGTGGTCTTTGATCTTCATCAATATTTTAAGTCCTCCTCACTTACAGCAAGCAAGGTTGTATTTTCTGCATATTGCAGGTTGCTAATGAACCTTTCTCCAATCCTGATGCCACATTTTTCTTCATATAATCCAGCTTCTTGGATTATTTGCTCAGCATACAGATTGAATAAATATGGTGAAAGAATACAACCCTGGTGCACACTTTTCCTAATTTTAAGCCATTCAGAGTTCCCTTGTTCTGTTTAAACAAATGCCTCTTGGTCTATGTATGGGATTCCTCATGAGCACAATTAAATATTCTGGAATACTCAAACTTTGCAATGCTGTCCATAGCTTGTCATGATCCACACAATCAAAAGCCTTTGTATAGTCAATAAAGTACAGGTACACATCTTCCTGGTAATCTCTGCTTTCAGCCAAGTACCATCTTACATGAGCAATGATAGCCCTCGTTCCACGGCCTCTTCTGAATCCAGCTTGAACCTCTGGAAGTTCTCTGTCAATGTATGATTGCAGCCATTTTTGGATTACCTTTAGTAAAACTTTACTTGGATGGGACATCAATGATATTGTCTGATGATTTCCTGCATTCCATTGGGTCACTTCTCTTTGGAATGGGCACAAATACAGATCTCTTCCAGTCAGTTGTCCTTCCAAATTTCTTGGCATACATAAGTGAGTGCCTCCAGTGCAGCATCAGTTTGTTGAAAGATTTCAATTTGTATTCCATCTATACTCAGTGCCTTGTTCTTTGCCAATGCCTTCATTGCACCTTTGACTTCTTCCTTCAGTATCATTGGCTCTTGATCATATGCTACCTCTTGAAATGGTTGAACATCGACCATTTCTTTTTGGCACAGGGACTCTGTGTATTCCCTTCCATCTTCTTTGTTAAGTGCATAGAGATCCTGTATAGGGTTTCTGAGGAGTGGCTGGTGAACTTGAACCACAGAGCTTATGTTTCAAACCGACCTTGCAGTCTAGCACATTAACCGGAAGTGCCACACCAGGACTTTAAGTAGGAGAGTCTACCCTTTATTAATCTTTCTTTAAACTGTACTTAAGCATAGGAAACAGGCTTTGCACAACATATACTAAGAAAAAAAGATTATTTCACAATTTACATCTAAGTCAGCTGCAAATGATCTGGTAAACAAACTTCTGAAATAACTGACAAGCAGGTTGGTTTTGTTGTGTGTGTGTTTTTCTAACAGTTCATTTTTCCAAAGTAGGCTCATCTCCACAGACTCACTGAGCACATAGAAAAATCTAAGAGCAGCAGAACAGAGACAGTACACCCAAGAAGTTTCATGGATGAAATCTGGACCCAGTAGGCTGCTAAACTCACTTCCAATGCATTTTCTAGACCGTGTAAATATAGTAAGACAAAAAGGATAAAATGTGCATCTATCTCCTAATACTGTCACTGAATGGCAGGAAGTTACGTCACTCTTTCAACTATAGATAGACATTTAGAAACAATAACTTTCCAAAGACTGTTCTTCGCCACCTCCCAAAAAAGTTTGGAGAGTTCAATGGTCTGAAGATGAAGACAGGCCATCCTATCTGAGCAGCTCTTGGGTTATACTTTATTAAAAATTAACCTCCAAGGTAAAGCAGTATGTTGTTGTTGTGTGCCGTCGAGTTGGATCTGACTCATAGCGATCCTGTATAGGGTTTCCGAGGAGTGGTTGGTGAGCTTGAAACACTGACTTTATGGTTCAAATAGAGCTTGCGGTACAGCACATTAACCCACAGTGTCACACCAGGATTCCTGTCTGTGTGTGTGTCTGTTGTGTGCAAGTGTGTGCGTGTGTGTGGTGCCCACTGCTGTGTACAGGTATCGATTTAGCTAATTTTGTGGCGTAAGGTTTTCTGAAACAGATGGCTAAGACCAGCTTTCATTTTTGCTATAAAGAAATCTTAGAGCCTCTGGTCTTAAGATTTGGCCACACAAGGTCCAGAAGGTATATTGGAAAGCCCCTTTCATGTCTGTTTTTCCTGATTAGAAAAACTGTACAAAATCACTGTAGAAAACTCCCACCATCCCACTGCCATCGAGTCGGTTCTGACTCAGAGCAACCGTCTAGGACAGAGAACTGCTCCACAGGGTTCCAGTGCTGTCATCTGTACAGTCCTGGGGCGGCGCTGGAGGATCAGCACTGCAAACTGCAAGGTTGGCGGTTCAAACTCACCAGCCGCTCCTCGGAATCCCTATACAGGGTTGCTATGAGTCAGAGCTGACTCGAAGGCACTTGACAACAACAATCTTTACAGAAGCAAACTGCCAGATCTATGTCCTGGGAGCGGAGGGTGGGTTTGAACTACTGACCTTTCAGTTAGCAGTCCAATGTTCAACCCATTGTATCACTAGAGCCCTTCGTTCAAACCTACTATAAACCCAAACAAAATTGGGCCTTACCAATAGCATTTTGTATTTTTTCTTGTCTTTATAGATTAAGAAAAAATTCATACTCCATACAATTTAATGACTTTTAGTATAACCATCAGAAGTTTAGAAAAACATTTTAACTCAGTAGGAAACCCCACACCCATTAGTAGTCACTCCCCACTTATTCCCCAACTCTTCTCCCATGTCCCCAACCCTCAGCGACCACTAATCTACTTTTTGTGTCTATGGATTTGCCTACTCTAGACATCTCATACAAATGGGATAACACAATACACGGTCTATTAATGTTTTCAAGGGTCACCCATGTTGTAACATATATCAATAACTCGTTTCACTGTATGAATAGATCACATTTTATTTGTCCATTCACCAAATGCATTTGTTAATTAATTAAAAGGATGATCTATGAACCCGTGTAGAGAGATTTCTAGAATATCATGGTTTAAGTGGAGGTGGTGTGTGAGCATATTCATAGCATGCTTTGTCTTTGTTAAGAGTGTTGTTGCTAAGTGCTGTTGAGTCGCTTCCAGCTCAGAGTGACCCTATATAGGGCTTCCAAGAAGTGGTTGGTGTGTTTGAACTGCTGACCTTGGGGTTAACAGTTCAGTGTTGGTCCTACTGCGCCATACCAGGACCCCATTTTTGTAAGGGAGAAGAGAAATAAATACAGAGAGGATAAACAAAACTCTAAGGAGATGTGTTCCCTACAGTGAAAGACAGACTAGGGGTGAGAGATGGGAGGGAAGGGGATGACATGCTTCTGGAATACCTCTTTCTACAGTAGAGACTTTTGGAACTACATATTTTGGGGTGGGAAGTCAACAGAGAAGGGGAAAGGTCCTTATTTACTCAAATCACAAACTTAGTAAGAAATGAAACTGGTAATGAACAATCTTTACCGACATATAAAGGAAAATATGGAAAGCGCTACAAGAACTTTAAGAGCACTGTGGTGCCTCTTATTTTCCTCTCCAGGAATCTACATGTCCTTCAGAAAGCAATAGAATCTTAGCCCACCCTCCTTGAATTTTGGGAGTCTCTCGCGACTGTGTTACTAATAGAATGGCAGGCATGGCACCATGCTACTTACAAGACTAGGACATAAAAGTAATGCAACTTCCACCTAACTCCTTCTCTAGGGACACTTGCTCTTGGAAGCAAGTCAGATGGAGAAGAGCTACAGCCTCCAGCCCGCAGCCTCAGGTGAGCCCCCAGCCAACAGCCAGCTTGTGAGTACACCATCTTGGGACCAGATTCTTCCAAGCTGCGTGGAGCCTTGTCCAAATGGCATATTTGTAGGCAACACAGTGATTGTTACTGTTTTAAGACATGACTTTTGGAGTTGTATGTTATACAGCAATAGTCAACTACAACAAACAGCTACTTTATTCAAGACTATCTCAACTACTAGACCACCATGGGGACCAGGACACGACACAGACATGCTTCAGGCTGGCCAAGTGGACGTGGGAGCCCAGCACAAATGCCCAGTCCTTTGAAGAAGGCAGTTATGTCTGGTTCACACAGAGTGTAGGCTCTCTAATTCCTAGCCTGTGGCAGATTGCTATTGCTGTTGTTAAGTGCCGTGGAGTCGGTTCCGACCCATAGAGACCCTATATAGGGTTTCCAAAGCTGTAAATCTTTACAGGAGCAGAAAGCCTCATCTTTCTCCCATGGAACTGCTGGCAGTTTCGATCTGCTGACCTTGAGGTTAGCAGCCCGATTTATAACCACTACGCTACCAGAGAATCGTTAAATTAAAAGGATGGAGATGGGAAATGGGGGCTCAAGAGAAAGCCAACTAGAAGGGCACATAGGAGTATCAGCCAGCTGACAACTAAGAGGAATTACTGCCAAGCCAGGACTTCAGAGCCCTGCATTACACCAGGACAGAATTTTAATTTTTTGTACTGAAGTCTTTACATTATCCAGGAAAAATGAAATCATCCCTGCCCGCTCAGCAGGGTCAGGAAGTATTATGTGGCTGTAAAAGATTTGCATCTGACTTAGGGAAGAAAAAAAATTTTTTTTTGATGTTTAAAGGGATGAATGCCACGTCCCTAGAAAGATAGTTTATACTAGAGATCTTGCCTCGATGGTAGAGGGGCTGGGTACCAGGAACTCCTTGGGTTGACACAGGCCCAAGTTTACCTGGGTTTTAATGGTAACAATGAGTTCATATAACACACAGTGAGCAAGCAGTGTTCTCAAAGGAGACCCTTTAAACAGAAAAATCCTCTTACTTCTGTTTCTTCTGCCAGTGCACAACCTTCCTGTTGATTTTCCAGAGTCATAACGACCCAGGATTTTCCTCTTTTGTTGTTGTGACTCGATGGCACTTCACAACAACAACAAAGGAAAATCCAGGGTCGCTGTGAGTCAGAATTGACTCAATAACTGTGGGAATGAAAGTCCAAGCCACTGAGAGCCCATAGGGAAGGGAATTTAAGGGCAGGGGTAGGGGAAGGAGAGAGGCTTGCCAACTGGTAAACAAGACAGTTCTAGAACCAACCCCAGCCTAAAGGGGAGTGCTGCTCTCCAGCAGCGAGTAGCTCAGAAGGTGAAGGCATTGACATGGTCCCTCTTGCCCTGGTAAGTTAAAGCAGGTCAAGTGAGCAGTTTAGGGGCCTCTACCACACTGAAGAGAATCACTGGAATGAGTAAAAACTAGCTTCCGGCACAGAGAAAGGCACCGAACGCCTATCATTAGGGGCAGAAACGCCGCTGTCTCTAAGCTGGAGCTCCAGTGACTGAACATGAAAAACAGGCTTCGTGCGTGCTCCACGGTGGAAGCTGTGTCTTAGAACATCGGTGTGGAGGCGTGGAGGCCCCCGGGTAACGCAAAAGTGTAAACCAACCCACTCATGATGACAACCTCCAAGGCCCACTGGCCTCAGAGTCTCTGAGCAGGTTTTAGCGGCTGTGTGGGTAAGTTGTTGAACATCTCTGAGCCTCAGTTTCTCAATCTACAAAGTGCAGAGATATACCATTTGGTTTTTAACACTGCTAGGAAGAGGAAATATTTTAGAGGGCCTAACAATCTGGCATATGGGGGCTTCAAAATGTTCGTGAACAAATCCCATGATCTTTTCACACCATTTTCTTCCAAACTTTTTGACGCCCTTCATAGTATTTATCTTATCATAGATGACTGGAGTCAATGACCGGTAATGAAAAGCACTGATGTAGTTGAGGAGCCTGAAGACTGGAGAATACAGTGGCTATTGGGGAAGTGTATCTCCATTACTAACAAGTCCGTGGAACTGCCCCACAGATCACCTACACTCGCTCAGGCTGAAAATCCAGGAATTCACTGATTCCTCTCAATCTCTCACCCCCCACACCTAAATCCATCAGGAAATCCTGCTGTTTCCATCTTTGAAATATATTTCAACCCTAGGCACTGAGCTCTGGTAGCGTAGTGGTTACGAATTGGGCTGTGAACTGTAAGGTCAGCAGTTCGAAACTACCAGCGGTTCCGCGGGAGAAAGATGAGGCGTTCTGCTCCCGTAAAGATTAACAGCCTCGGAAACCCTGTGCAAGGTCGCTATGAGTCGGAACCGACTCCACGGCACACAACAACAACAACAACAAAGGCACTGAGCAGATGGTAATCTCAGCTCCAGCCCTGACTCCATCCACTCTTTAAGTCCACAGTCAAATCTTCAAGGAGAGCCATTTCTCTTTCAAAACTTAAATCAGATTTAAATCACTCCTTGCTCAAAACCCTCTCTTCCTCCCTCCCAGGGATCTGCTGTAGTCTGCCAACCCCTCCATCCCGCTGCCTTCCTCTCCCTTCCTTCCCTTGCTCACACCGTCCAGTCCCTGCCACTGTCCAGTCCCCACCACCGTCCAGTCCCCGTCATCGCTGCTGTTCCTTGATTGTCCCAACCACATTCCTGCTACAGGGCCTTTCCACCTGCTGGTTCCCACCCCAGCTCCTCCCACCCCCCTCATGGCTCAACTTCCTTCCTTCAGTCCTGTCTCTGCCAGAAGGTCCCCTTCCCAATGAGGCCCTCCCTGACCACTCAACAACTTCTATCCACCCTTTGTTGTTGTTAAGTGCAATCAAATCAGTTCCAACCCATAGCGACCCTGTACAGGGTTTCCAAGGAGCAGCTGATGAGCTTGACCCGCCGACCTTGCAGTTCAAAGGACTTTGCAGTCTGGCGCATTAACCCACAGCGCCCCACCAGGACTCCCTATTTGCCTTTACCCAGTGTTATTTTCATTCTACCACCACTGGATATTTGTTCCTCACTCCCCAAGGGCAGGGCCCTTGTCTGTTCATCACCATGTCCCTGGTGCCTAGAACAGGGCCTGGCACAAAGACCACGCATCCCAAGGAACAAGTATGAAGAGAAGACCAGTGAAGCCATGACCCAGGTAGCCGACGTTACCTTCTTCCCAGCCGTGGGGCTGCTCTCAGCGCTCTGCACGGGGCTCCTCTGGGGGCTTCGGTTTTCTTGGGGGACACACCTGGCCATGTATACACTGTAGTCCAGAAGCATCTTCTGGCGCACACTGCCCACCAGCTCCTTCTGCTTCGGCTGGGACATGATTTCTTCCACGCTGCCTTTGCTGCTGCTGCGGCTGTGGGTCAGATGCCCCGAGGGACTGCTGTGTCTGCTGTGTGTGGGCAAAAGCCCTGGAGAAAGAAAGGCAAGGTGGCCATTAATAGGGAGAAAGAAAGGGAAGGCAACATAGGCGAAGTCAGGACAAACACTACTGGGTGAAGTGAAAAGCTGCTAAAATGCTCTCGTGTGACTGCTTCAAAGCTATTTATAAGGTTACTTCCCATCCTGTGAGATACATCGTTGGCTCTGATGATAGATCATTTTTAGAAAGCTTTCCTTCATCTTCAAGGCAATTCCGAGTAATGGAACAATCGAGTAGAGCTGGATGGTACCTTTCTCTTTTTCCTGGCGATCTTTGACAGTCAAGTGTAGCAATGACACACGAGCGCAGGACCCACGAGTGCCATCCAAGGGCAGAAGGCTACTAAGTGCTCAATCACAGCTCAGAGAAATTCAAACACGCCCTCTTTCCCCCAACAAACTAGTCATTAAGCGCGTCTGGAGGTCAATTCTGCTCTACAAAGAACCAGGTGTAATCTCTGCCCTTGAACTCAAGATACCTTGGCAGATAAATCAGTGTTTTTTTGTTTTTTTTTTTTTGTAGTAAATATCATGACTGAAGCATGACTAGAGGACTTTCAAGATAAAATGAAGGGGAGACTAACTGCCCACAGGGCGGAGACAGACATGCACAGGCAATGACTTGGGGCTGCATCTTGGGGAAATGTTGGCAGTCTGCTGGTCCAGGTGCAGGATGAGCATTTCAGGGAGAGGAACAGCATATGGAGAAAGCCAGGACAGGGCACAGAGACGCCGCGCACATAGGGCGGGTGAGTGAGGATGGAGAGACTGGCTGAGAACAGACTGCAGGATGCCTCACAAGCTCCAGTCAGCAGCACTCGAGGGGTCTACAGCGTGGAAAGTGCCTGATGCAGGCTTATTGTGAGACTGGAGTCCTGATGCAGCACTGTAGGATAAGAACTGGAATGCTAACTACAAGGTCAGTGGTTCAAATCCACCAGCTGCTCCATGGAAACCCTGTACAGGGCCACTATGAGTGGTGAGTGGGACCTGACTCGACAGCACTTAACAACAACTGAAACCAGATGAAGGGAGAGTGGTTGAAAACCAAATTAAAAATCGCTTGATTTTTGAGGCTCCAGGTGTAGGATGTAACATCCCCTGGTCTCATCCAGGGTCCCAGGTTTTCACCAGATGACAGCCAGCCCATGAATAGTGGAGGTTTTATAGAGCACCGCTTTTCCGGCCTTTCATTCTCCACCAGCAAACCGAATGTAGAGCCAGGGAGCTGGGAACAACTTCAGATCAAACTGAACCACTCACGCCTGGGACAAGAGAGGTTGTCCCTCCTCCCCTCAACCAATTTGTTGTTGTGTGCTATCAATTCGGACTCACAGTGACCCTATAGGACAGTAGAACTGCCACACTGTGTCCAAGACTGTATGCCTACAGGAGCAGACCACAGAGACACTGGTGGGTATGAACCACCAACCTTTTGGTTCACACTCAAGTACTTAACTATTGTGCCACCAGGGTTCCTTGGAGTAGAAGGAACCTTGTTCTACGGCTTTCCTGGTATTCACTTCCCGCAGAACAGCCTCTCCATCCTCCCATGGGCCCTGAGTGGGAAAGCAGAGGAGCAGGCGCTGCTTGGGAAACCCATGGACAAAGCTCTTGTTGACGTCAAGAACCTTCCAGTGTAGAGCTCACACTAGAACTCCGCCCAGAGGCCACATGGCCTCCCGCTCTCCCCGGACCCATGAAAGGACCTGCAGCATGGATGGCATCGCCTGACTCCAGGTCTCTGCATCACAACTAGTCTTTTGGCAAGAATGCCTCCTACTCAACTTGGAGAAGAATTCCCCCAGGGAAATCTATGATTTCAATGACAGCACCGCTCAGGGAGAGCTCAGGGTCAGCTCATCCGTCAAGAGGACTTACATCTTCTTAGACTGACAGACTGGTCCGAGCTGTGGAGAATCCACACCAGTCCCACCTACCAGCTGACTACAGGCCACCAAGTCCCAGTCACTGGTTCAGAGATGGTTCTGAAGGACAACAGGGTCCCCAGCAATTTACCTTTGCTCTCAACTCCATCATGCATTTGTGGACTTAGACTTGTCAGGAGTATCAATTCACAGCCTTGAAAGGCAGTCTCAGAAGAGTGTGCTTAGAAAGACAGGAGCGGTGTGAGAGCAGAGACTTGAATGGAGTCCAGGCACTAGGGGTCCTCCCTCCTCTGACTCCTACCATGGAGTACAAGTCTGGGACCCTCTGGCAGGCGTTCCCAAAATACAAGCTCATTTAAAATAATCAAATGCTTCGGTTAAGTCCATAAATAACACGCTGCTGATGAGCTGCTCTTCGTGGGCCCTGCGTAGCTAAGGCGGCATTTCCTGGTAGTCCAACAGCCCCTCTGCAGGCAACCTAGTTCTGCGCTTCAGTGTCAGTGTCTAGACCAGCGCCATCCAAGAGAAACTGATGTTAGCCACAAATGGAGGCCGCATATGTACTGTGAAGCTCCCTAAGTAGCCACATAAAGTATAAAGAAACACATTTCATTTAACCCTGCTGTTGTCATGAAGTGCCATCAAGTCGATCCCGACCCATAGCAACCCTGTATAGGGTTTCCAAGGAGCCGCTGGCGAACTTGAACCACTGACCTTGCAGTTCAAATGACTGTAGTCTGACGCATTAGCCCACAGCGCCACACCAGGACTCCTCATTTAACCCTACATATATTAAGGAGCTCTGGTAGTGTAGTGGTTACAAATTGGGCTGCTATCCTCAGGGTCAGCAGTTTGAAACTACCAGCTGTTCCGCGAGAGAAAGATGAGGCTTTCTGCTCCCATAAAGATTTATAGCCTCAGAAACTCTGTACAGGGTTGCTATGAGTCAGAACTGACTCCACAGCACATTAACAACAACAACAGCAATCTAAAATATTGGAGTTCTGGTGTGGCACTGTGGGTTAATGCGTCAGACCTGCAAAGCCGTTTGAACTGCAAAGTTGGTGGTTCAAGCTTACCAGCTGCTCCTTGGAAACCCTATACAGGATCGCTATGGGTCGGAGTCGACTCAATGGCACTTAACAACAACATCTAAAATATTATCATTTCAACAGGTAATCAAATTTAAAATACTAATGAGGTAATGTACTTTCTTTCTTACTTATTTAGGTACTAAGATTCTGAAATCTGTTGTGCACTGTACACTTAGAGCACATCTCAATTTGGACAGACCAGCTATCAAGTGCTCCACTCGTACATATGGCTGCTGGCTACCATATCGGATGGTGCTCGTTCAGAACTATCAGAAGACCACGGTTGCTTTTGAGGAGTTCTCACTCAGCATCTTGACTTTGAGTGGTCTTGGGTATTTCCAAGTGACGTCTCAGGCCTCAGTTTTGGGGTCAGGATGGAAAGTCAGGGTGCTGACGGCTGACAAAATGACCAGCTGGTAAACGCCCCAGAAGAAGAAACCCATGCCATTTTCCAAAGAAGGAACCAAAGCAAGGAGATGTAGTGTTTGAGGCTTAAGTGACCCCCACAATTCCATAATCCACAAGATCTGTGAGGCAAAATGCCAGAGTGGCTCAATCTTAGTCTTTTCCCTAATCACACCCCCTCGCTGATCCTGTCCTCTGATCTACAATTACTGGTTGCACCATGCTAGCTCATTTTAGCCTTGAAATTTACTCACATCTGACTCACAGATGTTAACAAGCACAGCACCTGAGAGGCAAGAGTGTTGCTGCTTCAATTGTACTATTTTTGTGACCCTTGCAGCTCCTGCCTAGCCAGAGCTGAGCCAAGAACTGCTGCGTGGTGACTGACAGAGTGAGGACACAGAAGGCCAGTCGGCTTGGAGGACCTGTGGGGTGCCAGGAACTCGAACACTCGCTTGAAGTATCTTCCTGACTCATCTGCCTTCTTGTAACTAGGGTTCCCCTCTTGCTTCTTCTCGCAAAGGACTCCACTGTGTAAAAATAAGTACAAACTAGGGGGAGGGAGGAGTGAAAATGATTCATGGGCTAGAGGGCAGACACATGTTAACACGGGTGCCAGGGCAGGCAGTAGAGAACAGGAGGAAGGTCAGCAGAGGAAAGATGAAGGTAGCAGGAGACACAGGGAGGAATGTCAGAGTTAAAGTGAATAGAAGTAAATACTGTTAACTGTTGGTACGTGGAGGGGATTGCAATGAATGAAGCAAAGTTGGTTTGTTGAGTATAAAACTGATGATCTGCTATGCAAACTTCACTCGATTCACAATGAAAAATTAAAAAATAAAGAAGTACAACCCAAATCTGCAAACAGTTCCAACAGTGGTCTAGTGACGTAGTGGCAATCAGCTTGAAATGCAAGATTCATGAGACCGCATCTTAGGTGGCAGGAAGTGATCAATTCAGAGTGGGCTTCCTTCTTTCCTACCTGGGAATTTCCCCTAAAGACCCTAAAATAATACATAAGCATTTGACACAGATGTTAATACCTGGTTTATTTCCAGAGACACCAGGTGGCTTCTTGATCTCCGACTTCAGCTTAGACGCCAGAAGAAATCTCCTAAACCACTCTTCTTTTTCTCGGCCCGTTCGCCCAAAGAGATAGAGTATCTGATCCCGCTGGCCAGATCTTGCTCCCTCCTGAGATGGCTTCTTAGGGTCCTCGCCTGCCAGCTCTCTCTCAGCGGGTGGCTTCTCTTCAGACATCTCCTTATCAGTCTGGGTCTTAGACATAAAGTCATCTTGTCGACCAAGTTCAATACAAATGGGGTACTTTTTATTCCAGATTCTTTTTCGAGCCAAACTTTTAGGTACAAGATAAATCTACAGAGGAACAGGAAAAGATGACTTACACAATAAGTCAAAGATTGCCTACACTGTGTATTAGTGCTATGCACAGCACAAATCTACACTTGGTAGTATTTTTAACTAAAATCATGACTGTGAAATCATTTTACCACCTATCTATAACATGACTATAGAACCCAGAAGAAATTTCTAAAAAGGATTTACTTTTCTTCAAAGTCATTCCAGAAAGTAGATGTTTAATAAGATTTTTTTCAAATGTTACAAATATTTGTATTTTCAAATACCAACTGAGTGGACAGCAATGGACTTAAATAATCCTGGGCCAAACTTCAGTGAAAAAAATAATTCACTAAACTAGATAGGAAGTTCAAGTTTATCAGTCTCAAGTTCAGCATAAATTAATAGGAAAATTATTTTAAATACTTTTGCCATTTTGGGGAAGCTTACCAGATCATTCAGGTGCGTTATAAGAAGAGAGGAAACCTCTAGCTTTGGGGAATACTAAGTAATTTACAGTTCTCACACAAACAAAAAGTGTATAGTACCTTTCTCCAAATGTAGGTTATTTTGCATGTACATAATTTCTCATTTTCACATTTACAGAGCTTTATTAGCGATGAACCCTAGTAATACCACACATAACATTTTGTTTACCTGAAAAACTAACTTTCAGAGTCAGAAGGTTACTTGATGCCCATGCTCATCAAAGTGTGGTGATCCCTGGACCAGCAGCTGGGATATCACCTGGGAGCTCATAAAAATGCATACTCTCAGGCCCCACCCAGAGCTGCTGAATTAGGACTGCATTTTAGAGGAGGACCAGGTGACGCACATGTGAATTAAACATGAAGCCAATTAAAGTTTGAGAAGTGGTGGGGTTAGTGTCCATCCAGTCAGTTCTGGCTCATGGCGACTCCCAAGTGTGCAGAGGAGACCTGCACTCAATAGGATTTTCCAGGTTGTGACCTTTCAGAAGATCACAGGCCTTGCCTCCAAGTGGATGAGTGTGAACTGCCAGCCTTCTGGTTACTAGTCCAGCACTTAGCCATTTGGGTCACTCAAGGACTCTGAGAGGTACTGTATCAATACTTTAAAAAAAAAAAAAAAAAAGTGGGGGGAAAACATAGTAAAGCAACCAAGGTTACAAATGCAGCTTCATTCATCTCAGCTCTGCCTCCAAGGTTACTCCAGCTTACCTTGCTGTCTGAGAGGTCATAGATTTTCTGGCTAATGTAGGTGACCTCTGGCTTCGTTTCATTGTAGCTGGCTCTCCTGGATATGTTTTTATTGGGCTTCGACAGTCTTAAGGTCCCACCCTCAAGCCGAACAAAGACTGAATGTGTCAAAGTTGCATGGTACGTTTCAGGATCATAGCTGTAAATCTCATTCATCCATCCCTGATGGGAAAAAACAAAAACAGTTCCATTAGTAAAATTAGAATAACAGCAAATACAGTCAATGTGAATGTGATGGATGTGCTGTGCGTTATGCAGGACACCCACGCCAAATCTGACTCTGACGCAGGTAACAACATACTACTATAGTGTTCTTCAGTCAGTACCAGGATGACATCCATTATCCTGTATTTACAGGTTCTTTTTACCCCCATAAATCACTGTTCATCTTTATTACTTATTACACATATTTCTCTCCTGTTGTTATTATTGGTAACATAGTGGACTATGAGTCGGGCTGCTAACCACAAGGTCAGCAGTTTGAATCCACCAGCTGCTCCACAGGATAAAGGTGAGGCTTTCTGTGCCAGTGAAGATTGATGGCTCTGAGTGGGAACTGATTCCACCACCGCCACCCATAGGGTTTCCTCGGATGGAATCTTTACTGGAGTGGATTGCCAGGTCTTTCTTACACAGACCAAGTGCCGACCTTTGGCTTAGCAACCAAATGCTTAACCACTGTGCCAGTAGATTTTTGTTTTTGTGGGGTTTTTGTTGCTACTGTTGTTACGTGCAGTCGAGTTGGGTCTGACTCATAGCGACCCTGTACAGGGTTTCCGAGGAGCAGCCGGCGAGCTGGAACCACTGGCCTTACAGTTCAAATGGCAGTTCAAACCAACCTTGCGGTCCAGTGCTTATGCTACAGCGCCACGCCTGGGTTTCTTTTTAGTTCTGTTTGTTTTTTTTAAAAAAGCTGACAAAGCAAATAAGGAAACTGACAGATTGTGCTCCTATAACTAGAGCAAGTCTCTCTGCCTGACCTCCTCTAGGGTGAGTGCTTAACCTGCCTCAGTCCTGGTGTAGCACTGTAAGATAGGCACCGGACTGCTAGTGGCGGTTCAATCCTACCAGCTGCTCCTCAAAAACACCATAGACAAGGTGGTTGTGAGTCGGAACTTGACAGCACTTAACAACAGCACATTTACACTGAACTCACAGCACAACTCGCAGCAGCCACCCCTTCCTTCAGCGCTCCATGACCGTAAGTGGTTACTGACCACACAGGACAGACAGAACTCCCCCACAGGGTTTCCATGGTTGCAGTTTTTATGGCAGCGGACTGCCATGTCTTTCTCCTGCAGAGTGGTTTGAAACTACAACCTTTTGTTAGTAACTGAACCCTTAACCGATGTATTTCTTGGTAAGTGGCTGTTGTTGTTGTTGTTGTTGTTGTTGGGTGCCACTGAGTCCACTCCAACACACAGGGACCCTTTGTAGGGGTCTAGTAATCTAGGCAAAAGAAGGCACAGAGTATTTTTAAAAAGTAATTCTTGAAGAACATTACAAGAGGCTCAGTTTGTGACCAAGTTTACATTATGTGTTTAGCTTAGTCCTTTGACTTTTGTTGTTGTTGTTAAGTGCCATCGAGTCAGTTCCGACCCATAGCGACCCTGTACAGGGTTTCCAAGGGTGTAAATCCTTACGGGAGTAGAAAGCCTCATCTTTCTCCTGCGGAGCGGCTGGTAGTTTCAAACCGCTGACCTTAAGGTTTGCAGCCTGATTCGTAACCACTACGCTACCAGAGGTGACTAGAAAACAAGACAAGCACAGGAGCACATGCGTTGGCTAAAACCATGGAATCAGCTCATCGGTTCGTAGGGCAGGCAGCTTGGGTGACGAGTCACTTAGTGGGCAGCAGCCTAACAAACGCCACATCACATTTGGGCATCTGATTAATCAGAGCATCATTCCCACAGGACTTCCACGATTCTGAGCTACTGCCTCGGCCGAAAAGCCAGCAGCCTGTATCCTCACACACAGCCAGTTTGGAGATGAGCAGGCTCTGATAGATACAAGCCCCCCTCTACCACCCACTGGATTCCAGAAATAGTGTTGCTGATGTTGTTAAGTGCTGTTGAGTCTGTTCTGACCCACAGCGGCCCTGTATAGGGTTTCAAAGGACCAGCTGGTGAGCGCGAACCACCAACCTCGTGATTCAAAGCGACTTTGCAGTGCAGCGCATTAGCCCACGGCGCCACATCAAAACTCCCTCCATAAATATTAGAACAAGGAATGTGAACATAAGGTTTACAGACCTTACGTACTTACATAGACACAGAACCCTACCACCTAGCCCACTCCAAGCACAGGTGAGAGGCAACAGGGAGGAGCCCACTGTTTGCTAATAGTGAACCTAGGGAATACCCTGCCTTGGGCAAGCCCCTGTTAGCTGCCGCTGAGTTGGCCCTCAACTCTTAGTGTCCAATGGAATGGAGCAGTGCCCGTCTTGCACGATGCTCATGACTGCAGATCGGACCCTTGTGATCCACAGAGTTTTCAGAGGCCTGTCTGAGACGGCAAGCTCCACTGCAACTTCAGCACCACAGTAGCCACATGACTCTACTGACAGACAGTGGGTGGCTGTGCTGAGGTGACTAGCAAGGAACTGAGCCTGCTCTCAGTGACCCAAAGGACAGAGAACTGCTCCATAGGGTTTCCGAGGCTGACCGCCTTTACGGGAGCGGACGGCTTCATTGTTCTCCCTCGGAATGGCTGAACCGCCGACCTTGAGTTAGCAACCCAACGCTTACCTCACTGCACCAGGGGCTCCACAATGCTGTCTTCTGGTTTCTTCAACCCTCCTTTTCTCCCTACTTCACCTTTGCAGATTCACCTGCTGCTGGCACCACACCAAGGCACCTGTATTTCCCTCTCCTTTGAGTCTCAATTTCTCCCCATCCTGCACATCACGGTCTTTGTGTGAAAGATCTATCAGAGGCTAAAGCCCCCAGACGCCAAACAACAAGTAAAAACTCTAAATCATATTACCTATTGTAAACGATTTGTCTGTTTAAGTGAGACCCAGGTTTGAGCCTGCCAGCTGCTCCGCGGGAGAACCCTCGAAGATGTAAAACCAACTCAACAGCACTTAACAACCACCACCTGTAATCATATTTAATTGCATGAAAGTCTTCCGGTGAAACACATGCACTGAAACCAAAGCACATACACCTTAGCAGAGCTACTCAGAGTCGGATAGACTTGGGTTCCAACTCCGGCTTCCCCACTTACTAACTGCCACGTTGTACAAGATCTTGCCCCTTAACCTTTGTTTTTCTCTCCTGTAGAAAGGCCGCATAACTCACCTGCAAGGCTCATGCCTCCCCAGTTCCCACTGTGCAGTCTATGCTCATAACTATTTCTGTAGGAAAAGCACTGGACTACTAACCACAAGGTCAGCAGCTCAAAACACACCAGGTGCTCCGTGGAAGAAAGATGAGGTTTTCTGCTCCTGTAAAGATTTACAGTCTCAGAAACCCTGTAACAGGGTTGCTATGAGTCTGGTCGACTCAAGGGCACCGAGTTTGGTTTGGTTTAACAGTAACCTGAGGAGATATAATTTATATGCAATAAAATAACCACCTTGGTGGCACAGTGGGTTAAGCATTGAGCTGCTAAAAAAAAGGTTGGCGGTCCAAACCCACCAGCCACTCAATGGCATAAAGAGGAGGCAATCTACTTCCTTAAAGATTTATAGCCTTGGAAACCCTATGGAGCAATTCTCAGTCTTACAGGATTGCTGTGAGTTGGACTCGACTTGAAAGCAGTGGGTTAATGTTAATAAAGGAGAAGGGAAACTAGAATAATGGAAAGGGGGACAACCAAAACAGAAATAGTGAGCTCTTCTACACATTGTTTGGTAAGGTGGAGGGTCAGAGAAAAAGAGGAAGACCCCCAGAGCGAGATGGATTGGCAAAGTGGCAGCATCAATGGGCTCAAGCGTGGCAACAATTGTGAGGTTGGCCCAGGATCGGGCAGTGTTTCACTCTGTTGTGCATAGGGTCGCTATGGGTAGGTACCGACTTAACAGCACCTAACACTACCACCACCACATTGTGAAGCGTGTAACCACTATCATTGCAAACTTGTGTAGAAATTATTGAATGGGAGCCTAAACTTCTGTGTACACCTTCACCAAAAACACAGGTATTTTTTTAAAACCTATTTTTTAATATTCATATTCATAACAATACCCCCCAAACCCCAGTAGCTGTCAACTCCAACAACTAGCTGAAGTGCGCTCCACAGACTTTAATGGCTGATTTTTCAAGTACACCACCAGCCTTTCTCCCAAGACACTTCTTGTAGCTATTCTGTGCCGTGGAGTTGGTTCTGACTCATAGCGATCCTGTAACACAGTTTCTGAGGCTGTAAATCTTTACAGGAGCAGAAAGCCTCATCTTTCTCCCGTGGAACAGCTGGTAGTTTCTAACTGCTGACCCTGAGGTTCGCAGTCCAATTCGTAACCACTACGCTCCCAGAGCTCCTTAAGACACTTCTAGGTGGAGTCAAATGTCCAACCTTTCAGTTAGCAGCCAAGAGTGTTAACCATCTACACCACCCAGAGACTTCGGAGCAGTGAATAGCCAGTCTTTAAGTTCTAACTATGTTCCAAGCACCTCAGATGTGTCCAGACCCTGCGATTTCACAGGTGAGGAAAGTTGTGAGAGAATTAAGTGACCTGCTGCCCAAAGTCTAAACCCATCAAGTTGATTCTGACTCACAGAGACTCTACAAGACCGAGTGGAACTGTTCCCTAGAGGATCCAAGGCTCTGAATCTTTACATGAGCAGGCAATCTCATCTTTCTTCTGCAGAGTAGCTGGTGGGTTGGAACCAGGACCTTGTAGTTACCAGCTCAAGACGTAGCCCACTGTATGCCAGGACTCCTGCCTAAGGTCTGGGGAGTGGAAGCTCTGGGACTTAAACCACGTCCACCTGACTCCGAGGCCCAGCCTCCTCCTCTCACCTGGTCTGGCTAACATCTGATTATCCTTTAGGCAATAATGACAATTCTTCCAGAGAGCTCCCTGGGACCACTCTGGTACCATTACTGGCTGGTACACTCCCTGGCCTATCTCACTCAGTTCCTACCTTCACAGGAGCAGGAAGCATGTCTGACAATCACAGTTGGAACAACTGAAACCTAACTGTGAG